TGTCGGACCACAAGTGGCACCGTGCTTGAAGTGGCTCCGACGTCGTATGGAGTTAAGTTGACTGTAATGCAAGTCCTTTTTGTTCATGGCGAAACCAGGGTCTCAGTCGCCAAGAGGCTATGTGTTCATTCCAAACGTGTTCATTGCACGTCCGTTACAGTATCCTCTTCATGCATAAGCAATTGATCCTTGCCGAGTCTGTCGGCGCATACGTCAGAGCAGCTTACTTGAAACTTGGTGACTTCGGCGTGGTTGTCAGTGCACTGTCCTCGGAGTTGTGTCGTGCTGCCCGAGAGAATTTCTCAACCTACCAACTCGGGCACTTTCCAAAACCGATGTCCATTCCGACATCACGTTTAATGCGTAAAGAAGCCATTTATAGTCAGTCATACAGTGTATTCGTCTATTGAGTTTTCAGTAAAATGTGAGCAAGGTAAGATAAAGTTTTGGGATAGATCCCCATGAAGGCAAAGTCGACACTACGTACTGTACAATGTCGTTATGTGTCAATTCAAGAAGAAAGTGTCAATATCAGAGGAACGATAAGATTCCAATTACACTGCAGCAAAATGAGAGCGAACCCGTCTATTAACTGTAAGTGGACGCTCATTTTTTTGCAAGGCAGCTGCACTAAAGAGGGAGCAAAGCTTAGACCAATCAGAGGTCTCCTGATTATTTGGTCAATAGACAGCCTTCCCTTGGTGCTCCAGCCAATCAGAGGCCGCCACCGCATAGCTTGTCCATGAGTGGTGGGAACAGTTCCTGCACAACTCGTCTCTAATTTACTCGTCGTTCTTTCCTGTTGTGCACTCCGGTCCTGTTGGGCTCTCACACAACACAACACCTCGCTTCTCCGACTCCATAAGTGCTCGGGCCTACTTTGCTCCCTCGTAGCAGGTTATGAGCCCTCACGCCTCCTCTGCGACTATCTACAATGTTCCTCCTTTGGATGACCAAAACCGCACTTTCCTTGAGTGGAAGCCGCTGTTCATCAGCCAAGCCAAGGGTCATGTATTTAATCCATTCTACACGACCAAAGATTATGGGCCAATTGATCTTGAACACTCTATTTTGAGCATCCTGGACGACGGCGTCCAAGTGTACAAGTTTAAGCACCCTGAGCTTTATGTTGTTGATCCGGACATGTTAGGCAACGACCTTGTTGCTCGACATAAGGAAATCGACGCTCACATACACTCGGTCAAGAGCGCTACGTTGAAGGCTGAAACGGCGAAAGTGTTGTCCCTTCAACGCTCCATGACACCCACCTTCCTCAACTCTTCCTCGGTGGACTCCCTTCGGAAGTTGTTTTTCAACAAAATTTGTCCATTTACTCTATGACTCTATTGTGTCCATTATTGAAAATAACCCTCTCTTAGCGATCCTGCGGTACTCAACGCCCTGTCGCAGAAGATTAAGTATCGCGAAGGATGCTGTCTCGACACTCTGTTGGCCGACGTCTAGTCCATCGCCTGCCAATGCTTCCACCACCTTGGATATTCCTGCGGTCAGCAACTATGATTATTGCAATACCTACCTGTATTAAAAATTTTAGTTGGTTAGCAACTACTACGACTCCTTCCTATGGACTAACCACTACATGGTGAATCTGTCGGAGGTGGATTTGAACGACAAGCAAATTTGGGACGAAATTTGAGCTATTTCGAATATTTCGAGCAATGCAAAGGCCTCTGGAAAACTCTGTTCTATTGCTTCCATCGACACCGCCATCAAGAACGCACTGGCGACGCGGCACTTGCGGTCGCTGGCTCTCGACGAACATGGTTCCGCCGATTCGGCATCGACGCGGCCGCATCTGATTAATGCCGCGTTTAAAGAGCCTGTATCTCCTAGCCTTGGGCACGTTACACGTCGGTCGCTGCCATCCTACGCCCACGTCAAGTGCCATGACTACATAAGACCCGCATGCTTCCACTGCGGCGACTTGGAGCATGTTCTCACCAACTGCAAAGTCCTGCTCTCGGATTATTTCCACAGTGCGAAGTGTGAAGGTTTCCCTCAAGACATTTTCAAAAAGTACGGCAAAAAGCTGCGCCGCTTGTCATCAAGCAAGATATGCGATGGCTACCCCTGCCATGACCGACGTGACCGCGACGGCAGCGATGATCGCAGCGGGGGTGGTTCTGGTGCCGCGCGTAGTGGCGGCCACAATCCTCCATCCAAACGAGACGCGCCGTGTAGTCGCAGCCGAAACCTGGGTGGCGATGATCGCACTCGGAATTAGCGTGACGAGGACTATGGCGGTCGCAGCCGCAAAGTGCGCTCGAACGCTGCTCCCGCCTCTAATCGTCGTATGCGCTCCGTTTCTGTCGACTCGGACTGCTGTGGCCCCATTGGGCGTGACGTTCAATTTGTCTCTTCCTTGGTCAAATGTGGCGGCAGCAATGGACCGTTGTCCACCGAGCTTCCAATTTACCCCAATCTTGGCGCCGTCCATCCCACCTTGAAGTCCCCGAGCCGTCTATTTTGTCTGGATGTATTGCTACGAGAGCCCGAGCTCGCGCTGATGCAACTGACGAGCGCCATGTCAAACGATTATGTCGTTCTCCGCAACCAAGCGTGCCCAATAGCCACCTTGACGTGCCGACTGGTCTCGGCATTGATCCTACTCTGCCGGCCCCAGTACCTGCTACTCAATCCCCGGGCCTCAGTGTGGCTCTGCTAACATCTGGCACCGATGATGTGGTTACATCTGACATCCGGGTCAATTTATAACCCCCCAAAACCACTAAAACCACTTGGATCTGCCTCCGCAACCCGTCCTGGACAACGTGCTGAAGTTGCCTCGATTGGCTCAACCGTGCCTTCAGTGCTTCGTGGTGCACCTCCCAACACGCCTGTGCAAATAAACTTTGACTTGCCTCCATGTGTGTCGACGCAATTGTGCAGCATCCTCCGTTCCATGCCGTTATGGACTCGAACAAATTTGCTCTCATGGTCGTGGTTACCAATTGCGCTTCTGTTGTGGCCCAGCCTGACCTCCCACCCTCCGTGATTTAACCTCCTGGCAAGTTTGCTGTTCTCGCGCAACACTGGATTGTGGACTCTGGTGTTTCGAGTTCGTGCACCCCACATCAAGACTACTTCTCGACCTTCATGCCCTGCACCGTGTCGTTGACCGTTGGACACGGGTCCAAACTGACCGTGGTGGGATATGGGTCCCTGCTGAGGACACTTTGATGTCCTCACGCGACCTCACCACCCCCTTGCGCTCCCGTGCTTTACGCTTGAAGTTAGCCTGCACTGCCCTCAGTTGCGCTTCAACATGCTCTCCATGAGCCACGCCACCGATGATGGCTATGCCATCACATTCCCGTCCCGAGATATGTGCATCATCAAGACCCCCTTGGTGATGTCCTTGAGACAACCAATAACTCCATGGGTCTGTACTCCTATGCCATCCCAAATGGGCTATGCGCACCTGTCTAATCACCTCCTGCGATCGACCCCCTCAACGCCAAGGAACTCCTCACGAAATTTCGTGCGTTTGAACAGCGCATTGCGGATTTTTGCGAGTCCCGCGTGTCCAGTGTCGAAATGGATCAATTAATTCGCATTCTTATCCGGTGTTTACCGCTTCGCAAGCATTCACACACACTCCGCAGTTGCAGTCCTTGCACGCTTTCACCCTACATTGGGTCTGAGGGCGTGTTCTGGTCGGCGGCCATCAATGGGATTCTGAACCGCCATTCTCGATCTATTGTCGATTCGAAGGCACTCTCAGTCTCCCTCGATTGTCTTCATGGCCTCGTTGAAGATTCGCGACTCTCCAACGCTGCACTTGCACGTCTTTGGCACCGTCGCCTCAGTCACCCGGGCATTGGTGAGCTCGAACGCATGATCAAGGACCTTCCTGAACTGCAGGTCTATAAAGCACGCTATTTGAAGGATTTTCTTTGCGACGCATGTGTGTATGCAAAGTCCAAACGCTCCCCCTTTGACTCGTCTGCCGTATATCGTGCCACGAGTTTCCTTGCCTTGATGCATTCTGACATCTAGGGCCCAAGTCCCATCCTATCTGCGGGGGGCGTAGCTGACTTTGCTCTCTTCGTCGATGATTTCTCCCGCTTTATGTGGATGTACCCACTCCACAGACGTACTAACCTCTACGAGGCATACGAGTCGTTCCGAGTTGCGGTGATGTCCATCTTTAAGT